TCACAGTGGTATTCTTCCTTAAATATATTCTGTCATTTCTCATATCAATGTAATTTAAGAACTTCTAATTGGCTGCTATCTACTACATTAAAAAATTGTAGTAACATTATGTGTACAATTTGTATTTCGTATAGACACTTGTTGGAACTTTTATTTAATCCTTACTTTTAACATCATCAATTAGAAAAAATATAATTTAACACTTTATTACAGTAATAGTGATAACAGAGAGCGATGGCAGTTTCAGTTTAGTTCCTCTAATATTTGATTTCTTTCCTTATGGTGTGATCAATATAAATTCCATAGAATACTTATTTAAATACCGCTAAAATTAAAATTAATGATTTATAAAAATACGGTTTGTCTTACAAGAAATTCGTGCAAAGTACTAAATCTTTATAAAACGTGCATTTAATATCAGACATTTTCCTTCTACGTTTTTTGTGGGAGAACTTATAAATATTGAGCCATAAATGGCAGTGTCACTTCAGAAACCAAAATAAGTTCGCAAATTCATAAATCCATAGAAATTTGCATTAATATACTTGACGCCCTGACATAGGATATCAACTATCATCAATGTTATGAACGAAATAACATTTTCAAATATTTTAAAGCAATTCAGTAATAGAATTCGTAATTATAATTCCTTCGCATAATTTGCTGTAATACCCGTCGCAAAATTTGATATATTTTTATCCATATTTATATCTTCAAGCTAGAATAAAATTATATCTGCGGTGTACAAAATGTATACAAAAAATAAATGTGCGTAGAATACGAGTATGCACAAAGAAACAAATTGAAATCGATGCAAAATTAACTTACACATGATGTACTGCTAAGTATATCGTCCATATCTTCAATTTCTTCGCTTATATCCTCGCTATGAGCACTGGAAACTTTTTCGTGCTTTTTAGTTTCTAGCTTTATTGGACTATCCATTTTTGTAGGATCCTTGGTAGGACTTTGATCATAAGCACTACCAGATGCTGATGATACAAAATCTTCCTCGTAATTATCTGTTCCGTCAGTTCCTATAATCGTTAGATTTACAATACGAAGATCAGAAAGAATGTATTATAAAAGTATGCGTTAACGTACCAAGCCCAATATCCATCAGTTCCTTCAAATCATTGATATCAGTTGTTTTACCATTAAGCGGCGGGAGATCACTAAGTATAGATTGTGATTTTTTATCTAAAGGTGGTAAATCTTCTAAAAAAGTTTGAGTATTACGTATATCATTAATATTCTCTCTTTTACCGTCAACAATAATTTCATCAAAGTATACAGTTTTCCCATAATTGTTACCAGCGCTAACTGGCTTTTTGTTTTGTACATTATTCGCTATATGTAATTCCAAACTATTTATATTATTTTGCACGCTTATATCATTTTGATTTGTTTGCATTTCTGTAACTATAGATTCGTCAAACTTAATTAAAGGCTCGGTTTTATTTAGTAAATTTGTTTGGATGGGTGTATCTATCTCAGTCTCTTTTGTTGTATAGTTCATCACTTTACTTGTGCCATTTGGACTTGTAGGGAGTGTATCAAAATTCATACTATTGTTCCCCTTGCTATCAATTCCATTATTCTTTTTATTGTAATCCGAAGTCGTATTATTCCTGAGAGGATCATTTTGTTTTTCGCAATTCAATTCATTCGTTGAAATATGAACAGACGCGTCCTTATCTTTTCTATCTGTTACCGTCACATTTATCGGTAGTTTTGGACTCTGTTGCGAGGAACTTTCTAATTTATCTGACATATCATTATCATTCGACAACGATGTTGTCTCAATATTTAATACTTTTGGGATGGAAATTTCAAATGTTGTGTTAGCAGCATTTGTTGTTGGTTCGTCAGTTTTACTAACATTTCTGTCAATTTCATTCTATAAAAAAATTACGTACNGTTGTTGGTTCGTCAGTTTTACTAACATTTCTGTCAATTTCATTCTATAAAAAAATTACGTACATACATAACTAATAAAGATGTATAAATAATAAATGTTGAAAATATTCGATAATAATCAATGGTGACTCATGGAGCATACACGACACTACATAAATATGTAATCATAAACTTATGTATTGTACATCTATGATACTGTCAATAATATGTTATAAATGATCTCATTGTAGATACCTTTTGTGTATTATTAAAGGCACTGTTCATACTGTTTTTTAATATTTCTCCAAGCAATGGTTCGTTGGATTCAATACCTAATTCTTCGCATAATTTATTTCTCCCAACATAATTATATTCCTTCCCAAAGTAAGTTTCGGGATCATATACTGATATTGTATAATCAAGACCAAAATATTCTAGGAACTCCCTAACCAAGGAAAACAATAATTTTCCTTCTGAATTAGCCAGGTACTGCTTTACAGTTTTATTTAGAAGTGGTTCCGGATTCTGAAATATTTATTCCATTCATTCAGAACTTCATTAATAATGGACAAGCTCAAGGGATAATGCCAATCATATACCATACTTATAGAAATCAATATTTTTTTCATTTTTGTACATACTTTTCGAGATACTCTTATACAGAATTAAAACATTTCTTTTTCTGATAAAAAATGGATAAAAAATCTTTCTGGCCTCGAAACATTATCTGTGACATAAGGATTTTTTAACGAGCTCTAATATTGCTGTTTTTTAATGAACATATAAAAAAAATTTGTCATTATACTTCAAACTACGTACAATAAAGATTTTTAAATATATTTTGTATTACATTCACTACATTATCATAAAAAATTATTAAAAGGAGGCTATTTTTCTGAGTGCTAGAATGGCATTATCTCTTAACATTATATTACATTCTCTTAGTACGAGGTGTGGTCGAGGAATATAAAAAGTATTCATGCAAAACACATGTAAATAGGAGTCTTTTAAAATTCTATGCTACTGAATACTTTGACATACCATTACAGATTCTTGTTCTTCTAAAGCTAAGAACACACTTGCCCTGAGTTCTGCCTATAACATTACAAAGTTGTATGTTATAAATGATATTACGAACGGAATTAAAATTTATAAAGAAAGCCTGCGTAACCTGTGTACACGACGTGACTTTTAAAAAGTTTATTTTACATACCCGCACTTTTGCAAGAACACCATTGTTTTCAAGGGTTTGCACCACCAAATCCCGTAATTCTGTATCCTCCTCCATAGAAATGTTTCCGTCTATCATGATATTATAAATAAAAATTATTCTCACAAACACTCAAGAAATGTAAATATTTACGCTTTCCATC